AAGTCTAAGAGAACATCAGTCAGTCAGACGTTTTAATCCTGCTGAATCAATGGATTCTCGAAAGAAAAAATTGGGAAGGGAATATTAGAATTCATTAGGGGGATAGATACATTGATTTTACGCTGGTCGGCTTAAGATTTAATGAATTTTTGGTGTTGCTGTAACCAAATGAAGGTTAACACGCGGTGAAATAAAACTCGAATATGCACGCAGATTGAATATGTTTTATTGTGGGAACCATCAGCTCTGAACAAAACTATATTCCCTGTCTATGCCGTTGATCAGTGATAGCTCAGAATTAAAAAAGAAATACAGGAGCTCAAGGTCTCAATCATCGTTAATTTCATCAACATGCTACTGAAGGACAACTTGAAACGTTATCTGGGGAAAAAAAAACATTAACAGAGGCAGAGAAATGTCTCTATTTGTCACCATTATTTTGTAAGTGTAGTTCTTCCGTATTTTAACCATCAGGTTTGTGTTCTCTTGCAGTTCCTTTAACATCAATTGTTGAAGCCGACCACATGCAAGGAAAGGGAGGAAAAAATTGAACAAGAAAGACAGTTGGAAATTAATTTTAGAGGTAAAACCTGTAACAAAGCAAAGCCAGCGTCGTTTTAGGACTAATTTACGGATTCTTGTGAACATAATTCATAATTTTGTTGCCAAAAAAGAGTATTGCTTTACAACTTAAGTTTGTGAGGAATTTATTGTCTGCTGTCGAAAAAATTCATAATTTTCTAACTACAAAATGCAAGAAGTTTTCGATTTTAAACACGGATTTCGTACGTAGATTGGAAATCATTTGAATGCAACAGATAAGGCTGAGTTTAGTAGAAAGACCAAAAATCTTTAAGATTTTTTTCTACAACTTGCAGGGAAATTATAGAGTTAACCTTTGTTTTAATTCGCAACTCTTAAGTTGACTTTCCCGTTTGACATTTTCTCTTTAAAATTTTCGATACAAAACTCTAGCATTTCTTATTAGTGTATGAAGAAATCAGACTTAAGTTCAACAATTTGTTTGTGGCACAGTCATTTAGTATAAATTTTTTATATAAAAATATCCCTACGATGTCAGTAATTCTTCGTGCTTTTATACCTACTTTGTACTTAGTTCGGTTATCTGACTAAGCAGTGCAATGTATGCTTATCGACTTTTGTTAACACTTTCATCTATTAATAAAGAGTTGCATAAATAAAAAGAACTTGTAAAAGAAATAGGAGTTATATTCCCTCTTTATTGTCTTTTAAAAGGGCCTGGAAACTAGTCAGAATATATTCTCTCTTTTACTTTCTTTTGCGTATGGAGGGTTGCCCAGAGGAAAAAAAAAAATTCTGCGGATTTGAACAGCTTCAAGTGCAAAAAAAGAACATACTCGACTTTTAATGGGAGAAAATCAATTGTTCAAAGCAAGATTTTCTCCCGCCAAAAGGCATTATATTTTTTAATCAACACCAGACACCATTCAAAAGCGCAGACTTTTTTTTCCCGTGGACAAATTTTTTCGCCAAAAGACTTAGTTCTTTTTTTCTCTGGAAATCATAGTGGGCCCTTTTAAAAGCGCAAAGTGTATACTCGTTAATTCTTAACGCAAACATTCTCCTGCGCACGATTTCTTCCATAACTAGGTGTATCCAGGACTAATTTTTAAGCAATAAATTCCTTGACTCTTCTTGTATCATCTTCGAGTTCATGCCTGAAAGAAAAAGACATGTTTCGAGTATTCTCTAAAATGAGCTAAGCGCTCTGTTAAGGGAAATTTTCTTCCCTCTTGCACTCTACAACCAGCTGTATTATCTACAATCTTCTTGCTAAACGTATATCAGAGGTCCGTTTAAGGATAGATAAAATTTTTAAAAATAAAAGAGATCATAAACATAGTTCTTACATGTTACACTATGGCTCCGGAAGAGATTTAATCCCTAAATATATGAGCAGTTTCAAAGCTATTCACCCTGAGATAAAAAATTATTTCTGCAATTGGTCAGGCTTTGTTGAATTTCAAAAATACCCAAATTTAGCAGTTTTGAAATCTAAACAACCATCAGTGATCAAAGTGCTGGATATGTTTGTTGTTCTGTTTTGTGTTGCTTCTCCACTTCAACACCAAGAAGCGATAACATTTTAAACGACTCCATAAGAATCGGCAGTGAAATACATGCCACAACATTTATTTTCCAGCTTATGGTAAATTTCAGTGTATAGGATCGGTGAATTTGCAAGTTATCTTGTGCTGAATTTAAAGCAAATGAAGGGTTTATCCTCATCATTCAACGATTTCCTTATCTTTCTTTAGATACAGGATTTTTTCAATCACTACCGATTGCACTGCTTAAATAATACTTCAGTTTGGTAACTGGTATATCATAGCAGAGTGGGTTTTCCTCAACTCTCACCAGAAACTGAGTCATGATTCAATCGTCACCTGTCCTTATTCTTTGTCGCATTTCAGACAGAAATAATTCTAGCTACACTAAAAGCTGTTTCTTTCTTATTTCTTTCTTATTTCTTTGATCCTTAATTTGATATGTTTGCTAGCGTTTGCCTCAGCGAATTTCAAATACCTTACTACACACCATGACTTTCACCTTCCCAACATGTTGATAGAACCAAACTTATTTCTTCTGAGTGATTCGAAAACTTTTCGATGGAGTCTCCTGAAAAAAAAAACATATTGCTCACAACAGCCAATCAAAGAGAAGAAAATTTTACAAGGGGCTAAAGAGAATTCAAAATGAAAACAAGAAAACTGCCCGAAGCGCGGGAAAACGTATGATCAAGGCGCGGTTTGTTTTAGTTTTGTGTCTGATTGGTTAAGCGCCATGCAAGTTTTATTGACCAATCACAGATCGCACCTGTAGCATACTAAAACTATTGCAATCCTGGATTTTCCTTTTTAACAGAAAATTGATCTGGGTAAGATTTTCGCACTATTCTCAAACAAAGCCGTAGTACCAAAGGCAATCTATAGTTTTCATCTTAGCTTTCTCTTATGCAAGAACTATCTTGATAAAGTGTGGGGCTGTGAGGAAATCTTACCTTAATCTATCGTAAAATATTGAGGTCGCTCGTTATAACATAAAACTTTTTGTGTCTTACATCCTGAATCATATTTGCGCTGTGTTGAGCAATAATTGTAACTATCACTTTGTTTAACTTTGGATTCTTCGAGATTCACGCGAGGTCAAAGATGGTTGGCGAAAGTGCCTAACCTGCTCGCCGTAAATGTTTAATTGCCACTTTTTCATTTGTTTTGGTGTAAAATCATATAAAAGTGGTTTGGATTCATCAAAACCTTAAGATTCCTTTAAATTTTGGATTGTTGTTGATGGTAAACCTAAATGTTTCAGATATAAACGAAGTTCGACGATTGGCGTCTAAGTGGTAAGCTAAACAGGTCAATAATAAGAGCTGCTACACGACTTTTCACTTTTCACGTAGACAAATTTTGGCATAATTCTGTTCATCATTCGATGCATTGCAGGTTTACATTAAGTGTTCCATAATCCACTCGCGGTGGTGCCACAGAACGTCAAAGGCGAGGAGCCACCATTACATCACACTAAGTTTCAAAAGCATGATTGAGTTGATCCAGAACATATTTTATTTCTTTACAATGGAACGTTTGAGGGAATTTTGGTGTTGGTGTTGTTGCTGCTTTTTTTTTCTTACAATCTTTAACATACTCACGTATTGCCTTGTAACAAGATCAGTTTTATAAAGTAGCTTGTGCGCAAGACACATTTGCCTACGAACATATACACTCACTCACGGATTAACATCAACCACCCTTTTTTAAAACCTAGGCATAAAAATATCATAAAACTGACCTGTATAACTTTATCTGTCTCCTTAACTTTGATCTTGTCAATTCTTCATTGTGGTTTCTTCTCACAGCATTATTCCCTGATGAGTAACGAAGAAATAATCTCATTAGCAAAGGACAAACAGTAAAGATGAAACAAGTTACCCTGAAATTTTTACTGAAGCGTTCCGGAGTAACTTCAGAATACCCGTCCACATCATTTATGGCTTTAATTGAAGAATGAGGCGTAACACATTAGCCAATTCTATCTTTATTCACTCCTGTTTTTTTTAGAAGCCTACCTCCTCTTCGATGTTGGCGGTCTACCGGCTTTCAAAGTTTCCGCCACTCGCTCTATAAAGAAGTCCAGACTTTGATCACTTTACAGCTTGACTCAGTCGACTTCTAGTTGCTGGTTGCCACCCATTTGTGAGGATTGTTACACTCCAAAAAAGGGTGTTCTCCACAAAGCTTCATTTTAACCTCAACTGCCAGACGTTCTGAACAACTGGGACATGCTAGACGACGAATTTTCTGACTAAAACTTTCATTTAAGGCGAGAAAACTTAAAACCAAAGCAAAGTTCTGAGCTCCGCGTTTGAAGATCCTGAGTCAACTACAATGAATAATCAATAAGTGTAAGTTATATTTGCAGTTTAAATCAAACATTCCGCAGGACTTGCAAACAATATTTAAAATGATAATGCGAGAAAGGTGAGGGGAGAGGGAAATTTATGCTGATGAAACTTTTTCTTGTTGGTTTTTTTTCTTCTTCCCGAGGTAATAAATTCTCAAAGCTGGATACCAATTCATCTTTAAAATTCGTTAGGAGCCACGGTTTTTATCGTCTTTCTCACCCCTACTAAGTTGGTCAATACATTGCTGGAGAAAAATTTGCCAATTGATAACTAAGACACAATGAAGTTCATGGGCAACTGGATAAGGGGCTTACAGCTAGCTTTTCAATTACTAATTTAGGAAGATCTCAGTACACTGAAATACTACCCGCTAAATTGACCAATCATAAGGCACGTACTAACTGAGAACTTAATAAAGAAACTTAACTACCTCTACAGAATAATGAGTTTCCAACCAAAGGCTAGAATTTGTTATGGCAAAATTTTTTGTGATGATGAACAGGAGTAAAAGTAGTACTTTGTGTCATTTACTGAAGTTTACCCAGTCCAATAGTCAATATGCATATATACACTTTATTTACCAAACTTGTAAACATGAATGTCTTTCAAAAGAGTAGAAACAAATTTCAAACAAGGTTAACTAATTAAATTTGCAACCAGGTTTCAAAACAGAGCACTTGTGGCAGTGTGATATCAAAAATTATGTAAAGTTAAAATTTATATTTTAGTATATGACTTCTTAAAAAAAGAGAACTTTAAAAAGGGCTTCATAATAAAAAAAGATCAGTACATTTACATATAAAACTGAAGTAGCCATGAAAATACAACTACAAAAGCAATCCATGCCTTGGGGGCATAAAAAAGAGAAAAAAATATTAAATATAAATTAATTATCAAATAAATAGGAATAAATAAAAAAATTATTCTACAAAAAGGCAATGGTTTGATTTTTTTTCTTTGTTACACCTAAGAAATTGATTTGTTATGTGAAACTGACAATGCAAATATAGCTGAGGGTTTGAAACCAGGAGTAACAGTGGGCCTTTAAGTTTCATCCTAGGCTAAGGTCATCTTGGAAAGAACTGTTATCAGTGACAGTGACACAAATTGAGTCATAAGCAGCTCGACAGAGTGACTACTGCAACTACAGTCGTAATCTGGTTCAGGTTGCTGAAAGAATGGATGATAACATTCCATTCATGGACTACTCTCATCCAAATTGGACAATACATAGTGGGTTAAAAAGTGAAGGTCCCATCCAAACACAATTATCATACTGCACTAGCTATCACAGTACTCTCCTATATATCCTGGGAGGCAGACACAGCTTCCTGTAAAGCAACTACCACCAACATTACTGCAATTGGTGCAGGCAGGATTATCTTGAATTTTTACTGCAAAGCTCAGTTCAATTGTTGGTGAATAGTTGATCCACAGTTCATCTCCTATGTGTTCATTCAAAATCATGAACAATGGAATATCCTCTATGTCTCGTCCAATGGGAACTTCCACCTCAGCATTGTGGTCCACACGAGAGAACGTAACCTTCCTTCTGAACAGAATTCGCATGGACTGATAAGTATACAGCAACTTACTCTGGCTGTTTTGGGCAAAAACTTCAAAAGTATCAGGTTCAAGTTTTTTCGGTGTTCCTTGAAAATATGTTTGAGGAAACAAGATAAGAGGGTATTGAATTGATGGAAACTTCTCAAGATCAGTAGGTCCTGTGGAAAAAAAAAACAGCAGTATGAAATTGACAATAACACTTTCAAAATCTTACTGTTTTAAGTGCACCTCCACTTTTGGTCTTAGGTAGAAATAAGACAACCCCATTTGTCGCCCTCCAATAGCACAAATTGCAACCAAACTGAATTCATTGTTAAGATAAGAGACAATCCACATAGCTGAAAGAAAGTGGTCAAAATAGCAAGTGCTTGAATACTTTCAATTGGATCTAACATAAATGACCAACAAACAGCCTGAAAATGTTCACAGTTATGAAGAGCTGTTGCATAGTAAAACACATACCCTCCAAGTTCCCTTGTAAATGTATTTAATTTTTCAATTTCTACACTGAAGCAACACCTGGCCACATTAAACTTTGTACAATTGTCAACAACTCGCAAGAAAGTTGTCAATTATTGACTGAGTCTCAACCAAGTATTGGCCAACTATCAACCGACTATCAACAGTGTCAGCCAAGTGTTGATTGAGTGTCAACTGAGTGTTGATCGAGTGTCGACCGAATGTCAATCAAGTGTCAACTGACATATCCACTGAGTATCAACCGTCTGTCAATTGACATGTCAACCAATAATCAGTCAAGAGCACCTGGTGTGATATTACAAGTAAGTGGTTATGATTTTCAGAGAAGTAGTCAATAAACATACTTTTAGTACAGTTCTCTCCTGAATAGCCACTTATGCACTGACATTCTCCACTTATACCACATGTTCCAAAATAACAAGTTTTGTTGCCGCAGTCTGGAAGTGCACAGTGAGGACATGGCTCCAACTTAAGGGCAAAATTCATCTCCCAGTGAGGCCACTGTGTGTACCAGATCCCTGATGAGCCACCAACATCTTGGTTATCAAACATCCACAGGTGGATATTAGAAATGTTTGTGATGTTATAGACGGAGGAGGTAAATTTATTTCCACTCAGAAAACCAGCTGTAAATATCAACAAATTGGCAATTCATAGTTATATCTATAACCATAATGATACGTCATTATTGTGATTCAGTGGTGTTAGTTTATATTTCCAAAACCTTTACACTCTAACATCAGTTTGTATATTCTCCATAGTGGACTCTATGCATTTCCTTAGGTGCTGGACAGGAGTATCAGTTTAGCAATCAAACCTTATTTAGTTGGTGATCATTTTCTTCATTCCGATGACCTGTACATGGGATTCAGGGGTAAAGATTGTGAGGAGAAATAAGACGCTTTGTTCTGGACATAACAATGGTGAAGTAAGTCTACTATAACTTACAAAAGATCAAGTTATTATAAAATATCATCCATGATTAATTCACCTACACAGAGTTATATACCTTTAAATGTGAGTGTCCTTCCTGGCATCACTATTATTGATCGATAGCGGAATTCTCTTTTCTCATCGCCAACTGTTTGACTCCATACATGGTATTCTTCTTCTTTAAGCCGAGTGTAGTCATTTTGAGAGGATGTTTGGTAATTCAGTCTATTAAAGAGTACAATCGGGAATTCTGCAGATGGTTGAGGAATGCCTGCAAAAATCAGCATATAATTAGAGAGCTTGCTGATTTTTATCAATATCTTTGATATTCTTCCTGTTTAGTACTGATTCCTTTGTCAATATATGGCACCATAGTAGCTGAGGTACAGTCCCTCCCACTACTTGAGATGGATGGGAATAGAGTGGGGTCAGTTTATATTAACTGGTTTTATAATAACACTGACTACAGTGAGGTGTTGTGAACATAAAATGTTGATCAGTGTGTTGGTAAATAAAAAAAAAAAACAATTTAAGGACTTGTCCTGTTAAAATTCCATACAAACATGATACCATATTGCAATACAAAATGTGACATTGTTTGGATGATAAATGCTATCCTTGGAGAACCAGCACTTCTGAGAAGCTTTAATCAACTGAACCCCCAAAAAGTCAGGACGTTTTAAGAAGCAGAAAATCAGTGTTGAGTACTGAAAACAACTGCTCACTGGACTGGGGAATTATTCATGAGAGAACCTAATTATTCAAATTTTTTGTTTTTTTTATCTAGGAGTCAATTAAGAGGTAGTGCTGTCTGTTTAAGAGAACTTTACACTCACTACAACTTGGGAGACAGGGATTATTAGTATTAATGCATGAAAACAGAAAATCTTCCACTTACTGGACATGGAATATATATCATTTCCCTAAAATGAAGAATAAAGAAAGAACATTTCAGTTTGTTTCCTCCGATATTAATGTGCTTAGTGAAAACTAACTTGACAGTGATGGAAAAATTTTATTGCCTGGAAACAACTCAACATTGAAAGGGGAGTGGGTTTTTCAGAAAAAACTTGGTGAAGGTTAGGGTTATTTAAAACCATTTTCTCTAATTTCAAATCTGAGCAGATTCATTACTCACTGCAAGAGCACCTTTCATCTAAGTAACAAAACAAATCAAGGTAGTAAAGAGAGAGCCAAGGAGAATGCAAAGGAAATCTTCTTTGTCCTATGAATGATAGGGATTTTCTAGATCACAGCCACAAAGCATATTAAAGTTTAACCACAAGAATTCTTTGTTACTCTCAAACTACTCTATGAGTGGATAGTATAGAGGGTTTTGGGCCTTAGGATATCCAACATTGTTCTAAATGTCACTCTCAGTCAGTTGGTGTGCAACTTTTGGGATTAACTTAAGAAATTGTTACCTATGCTATGGTTCTGGCTAACAATTAATTCCAGTGTTAAGATGAGAAAACAAAAGCAGTCCCTAACTGTCACCGATGAATAATCAAATCATGCTGCTATCTAATTAAAAAATCACTTGCTTTGACCTTCACTTTGACAAGTTACAGGTTACTTCCAAAACTGTAAGTGATCCCTGATTCCCACCCAAGTTAATATACTATGAAATCATCATGGCAAGTTACTTTTGCTGAGTCAGAAGTGTTTTAGTCATCATATATATAACTATAAGTTAACGTTTCTGATCAGCTTGTCAAAATTGAGTATAGTCTACTATCTGCATTTTCTTCAGCTGATCTGTTATTGTTTAGAGAAGCAAAAAGTTATGATTGACCTCCACTGCAAGGTGAAACAGGGAGAGTGAATTGTTTACCGTAAGAACCTTGGAAGTGCACAAATCAAAGGAAGGGCCGCTTTATACTCTTAACTGCAAGTTGCTCGACAAAGTAAAGTTGTAATGTAGTGCAATAACACGTATGGAATTTATGATCTTTTGAAAAACAAATATCCAAAAAAACAGTCATATCAAAACCTACCATTATATGAAGGCAGCATATCTCGAAGATGAACAGCAATACCACGAAAACAAGCCAATTTTCGCCCCTCATCTTTAACAGATGCAAATATTTTGCTGTTGTTTGGAAGATGATATGGCAACTACGGAATTTTTTTTCCTGAATGCATTTGTCCGAGTGGTACTGGGATCAAGACATGGAGGGGCGGGGGTAAGGGGGAAGAAGAGGGACGGTGATTTATACACAGATGATAGTTTATTGCAGGTTATTGTACCCCAAGTTTCTCTTCTGTAAAAACAACCATGTACCGCAGCGGAATTGCTTGGAATGACAGTAGAAAATGACCAACGATCACACCTCTCGTGTTAAATATAATCGACAAAAGAGTACTTCCAACAAGTTAGAATCTGTTCAGCGTAGAAAGAGTGCTGATGGCTAACTTTCAAAGAAAAATTTGGCGCTAAAAATTTATCAATTTTTTTCTTATTTTTTTAACTTTTTGAGGCCTTATTACCTTATTAACTCTATGATGTGATAATTGTTAATATTTAAGTAAAGTGGAGATGTTAAAATAAATGCAGACGGTGAATTTTTTTAAAGCTGGTGTTTAAGTCAAAGAAGATGTTATGTAGTGAACGATGTGAGCATACTCGAAGAAAAAGTACATCGAGTGCTCCAAATAGGAGTTGAACCTACAACCTTTCGGTTAGTAATGTTGTTATGATTAATGTAACAAAAGACAGCTTCTATAGAGTCAGCATGTCTCGGACTCATTCTTACTTTTGAGTGATTCATTCAAACTCTGGCTTTCTATGTATTCAATAATTTTTTTATTTATATTTACAAAATATAACAGGTTCTTGTTGTAGTGTAACTCACTCTAACCACCGATTACAAAGTTATAAAGATGTATTGACTGTACATAAAAAAGGTAGGTCACTCGCTCTTGGACACATGTTACGTTACATTTAACTGCAATGACGCTCTATTAGAAAAAAAAAGGGAAAAGGCGGTAGCTGTATGCCCGGCAGCCGGAAAAATGTCCTCAAAATTGCCACTGAAAGGTTCCATCAAACGTCTTTAGAGTATCAGATGTTTGTATAGAAATTTCAACAGATTCCAAAAGCTATCTTGGTGATTAAAATACGGAAACATCCAAAGTTAGGTATGCTATTTTATCGACGTGTTCCTTTGTTCTATGACAACGTTATTGTAACCAGGAGTATTGGGAAGCTTAAAAAAGTCAATCAGCAATAAAGGTGAAAGACTTACCGGTAGTTTACAACTGTTATCTATTCATAGTATAACAATTTCTTATCGAATGTTGAAAGTACGAGTATGGGTTTCCCCTCAACCTTCAAGACAAATCAGAAAAAAAAACAACAACAAAACCAATGGCGACTTGATCATTTTTCTGCACCCACAGCTAGTTACTGGAGACACTCTACTGTAAGTTTTCAGTTACTCCTCCTAATTGGTCACTTAATCCGCGCTTCGTTCCAGACTTAAGCTCAAGGGAGACTGGCGTCGAACATCAGTGGCGAGTCGTAGTTACTGCTACTCGTGCTCAGTTTCCTTTTCTCTCGCTCGTCTTTAATTTTGTGCTTCTTTTTCTTCTTCTTGTGTTTCTTGTGAGTTGGGGCACCAGGCTCAGGGGCTGGTTTTACTCGAGTCTCTCCTCCACTTTCAGTGCCGCTTTCTTCTCCTCCAATCTATAATCAACGAGGAAATAACACAAAATTAGTTGAAGTGTTGTAGTTCATTTATTTGTTTAAGCAGGTTGATTAATTGGCAGCTGTCATAGCTGATGTGGACCTGCTGTCCTTACCCACCCATCCCACCCCAGGGGAGGAGAGTCGGGTCAGTTTATATTAACTGGTTTTATAATAACACTGACTAGAGTGAGGTGTTGTGAACATAAAATGTTGATCAGTGTGTTGGTAAATAAAAAAAAAAAACAATTTAAGGACTTGTCCTGTTAAAATTCCATACAAACATGATACCATATTGCAATACAAAATGTGACATTGTTTGGATGATAAATGCTATCCTTGGAGAACCAGCACTTCTGAGAAGCTTTAAT